AGCATGGGGTGCAGAGAGTTAAACAGGGAAATGTAATCCAAATTGCAAGAAAAATGACTACCAATTAGCTAATATACTCAACTAATTTATTTATAATAATGTGTCCTTCTATGCCACTGCTATGCTTGAGTCTTCTGGTCCAATTATATTTATCATAAAACAATAAGTTGGTATTCTTGAGATTTATCTGTACCTGCGAATATCATTAACATGAATCATTCTTCTCTATGTATTACAAAATTAATCAGGTTAGTAAGATGCTGAATTGAATAAAATGAAAGTAATTCTCACCTTGTGAAGATTTTTGGCATCTAGCTAATTGATCCCCATTTTCCATTCGAACTAACTCAGAGACTCTTCTCTGTGCACATCCTTCCCCTAATTCCACTGAAATTATCCTACTCATCCTACAAAGCTTAGGTCAATTATTACTTTGTCTGAAAATTTTCCCTACCCACTCCCCTCTCCAGCAGAATTAATTATTCCTCTCAAGTAAGAATTCTCATTAGAGCACCGATCGTGTATTATACTTGGCAATACAAACTATGTATGTGTTTTGTTTCACGAAGGCAGGAGACAGGTCTTCTTCATTTTAGTAATCCTTGCTTCCACCTGAAGTTCATAACACATTTGGAGCTCAATGGATGTTGAATTGGTTGTCCATGATATTGGGGTCAAAGATATCCTAAACCTGACACCCAAACAGCACTCTACTCACCACTGTCATCTCCAGAATCACTAAGGAAGAGAAAGGGTTCTTTTTTTTTTTTTCAATGCCTCCCAACTCACACACACTAATAAAATTCCTGGAAATACAAAGCTAACCAGAGGTAAGGGTGAAATGGACCCTAATTAAAATATATTTACCATGAATTTAAAAACTAGATATCATGATGAAAGCACAGCTCTTGGGAGAAAGTATTTATGAACAATAAGAACTATGTTCTAATAGCTAAATATTTACTAGTAGTCACCCATGCACTAGCAAAGCTCTTTGGACCTAAAAAGTGGAAACAGTAATTTTCTCTTTATTATTTTTTATTTGAACATATTAAGCAAATTATTGCTTTATTAAACTCCTCCTTCACTTTTTAATGTATTAAGAAGACTAGAGCAAATAAAGAACTAGCAATCTGATTGTTATTACTTATAGATAGCCTATAATGGGCCAGGTGCTCTGTATTAGGACTATATTTGCTGTATCACTAACTATATTCATGAAATTAGACATTATTCTCTTTCTTTAGAATCCCAATATTAAGTAAGCATAAAAATCTGTAGCGAGGCTAGGATTTTAATCCAAGTCTGTCCAACACCAAAGTCCACAATTTTTCCGGTGTATCATACTCTCTCTTACATCAAGTTTTGTGTGATCGTTTTTTCAGCCTTGTCCCCAAGTCAACCAAATCCCTGACAGGTAGACACCAGCAGTAGTGGAGCTACTAATAGAAAATGGAACCCAAGTTATCCCAAGCACCAGGCTAGGAAACCCCCGCTATTCTCTCCCACAGTAGCAATGGCCACTGTCTTGCCCCTTCTCCCCCAACCCCACTCCTTTATTCATCTTCTGGTTTCTGTCTTCAAATTTTTTATAACCATACTTTCCTGCCCTTTTTCCTATCAACATAGTGATTTATACTCTGGCCTTACTATGACTTCCATATACGACCAATGACCTTTACCCCCGCTTCTCTTTTCCCGTCTTAAAATCAGTTCGGTAACAGATGCACCTTCCTACAGGACATCAGATCATCCCACTGCCGTATCCACACCACCCAGTTTTCTCCACTGCCTAGTGATGTCCAGTCCTATGCTTTAAAAATATTTGTTTTCTTTTGCAGTTAAAGTATTAGTAAAAATTAAATCAGAATTCCTTCAGATTTTATCACAGATTACAAATTTGTATTGTGCAAACAGAAATATTCATAACAATAAATATTCTTGACAATAAATATGACTTAATACACAGTAGAAAATTTTGGCTACAGACAAATCGTGTTCAGAAACATTTGACAAAGTTGGGTTGTCCTAATTCATTTTATCTACTTGTGGCAATCATTTTACACGTTGTTTTCTGCTCTCCAAGAGCCCTCTAAATTTGGTAAAGCAGATGCAGATCTAGTTTTAGTAATTCTGTAGGAATGGATGAGCTCAATTACCCAACTCAGAGGCTCACTTGCATGCAGGCACTATACAGGGTTTTAAAAATACTTGTGCTCTTGGAATTTAAACGTACTGACGACAATGAGAAAGGCTGAGCCTGTGGCCTTTGCTCTGAAGTAATCCTGAGTAAGAAAAATTACTGCTAAGTGAATTTCCAGTGTTTCTTCGCTTGTAACTGAGCTCTAATAGATGTCAGTGGGAGGTTTTTAATAGAATGTTTGGTTGTCTAGGGCTAAAGTAAGTAGCACCATTCCTATATTTATATTTATAAAACCAGTGACTAAGCAACTTAAAGCACTTTCGCTATTTGATTTTTTAAATACATTGTCAGGTTCAATGATTTCTCTTTAGGAAATCTGTCTTCCTTCATTCTCCAAATATACATCATCTTTCTCTGATTGGAAACACAATGAGGCAAAACAAGTAACTCT